AGTGAGCATCATATTTGTAACACAACGTTCATATGCTTTTTTGGTCATAGATAAGGGACAACAAAACTATATGCTTGTATGGTGGAGAGGATATCGACTGGATTAGGAAATTCACAACTAAAACGCGAAGCATTGCAAACGCATTGCAAGTTCCCCTAGAAATGATTTATGTGGGAAAGAGCAATCCAAAGGACAAAGTAAGAAGATGCCATGAAATCATTGACAGAGACCGACTTAGCCACATTTTTCCATTGAAGGACTATTATGATTATGTTTGGTTTTTCTGGGTGAGGTTGGGGAGCATGTGGAACTCCAAAATTCAACACGGCATGACCGTTGAGGATGATAAAATAATGCAGGAAATCTTGACAATGCTAACCTACGACGGCAGTGAACAAGGATGGGCTGTTTTCAGTAGAGGCCTGCATGACATGACTAAAGGCAAAGGTGACATTTTGCTCACAGTTTTCGACAACTCAGAGAAATGGGGACAAAAAGTGGACCACCCTCATAAATTTGTGCCTGTATTGCATGAGGAGATTACTGGCGTCCACCCTGAACACCACTGCAACCGCCTCATTCTGCCAGGGAGCGCTGGATACATCCCAGAGCGTGTGGTTTGCTCTGAATGTGGACGTACCATGGACAAGTATATCATGTACCGCTGTTGCACCGACTAGTCTACTCTACTATTACTACTACTGCTGCTGCTACTACTATAAAAGATTTTACTGCCTTTATATCTGGACTAATCTACTTTCCATTCCCGTCTCACCGTACTCGAGTATTTTTTCTCTATCTAAAAAGGAATGTTGAGATTAGGGCTCTCCCATCTACATATCTTCGATGTTTATTCAAGGTTATTGTTCTTGAGGATTGATTTGTAGAGTATTTTTTGTGATGTGTAATTAGGTTCATGCACTTGTTGGTGCATATGTGGCAATGCCTCAACACATGCAATAAAGTTGAATAAATTTGGAAGAACAGAAACCAACAATCTAATCGAATCAAAAGTAACATATGCAGTAGATTCAAATTCGCATGTTGACTTCTGAATAAAATGATATTTGTGCCCACTATCGGTAATAGGTTCCATGTGTTGGAAATTTACTTAACATGCACAGCGAAAAATAAATCATATTTCAATTCCCACCACTGATCTGTTTTGTGTTTAGATATAAATTGCGTTTGGAATAATACCTTTGATGAATTCTGAAACTCCTTTACTGATTTTCGAACTCGAATGGTTACGATCTACAATCCAAGCTACCCAATTATCCAACTTCCAACGGTGATCCACATAGAGAATAAGAATGACGACTAAGATTTTCTTTTCCTGTGTGTGACCGGTTCTCGATCACGATATCTAACGACATGAATTATTATTTTGATATAATCAAAATTGATAAATTAAAATGCCTCTTTTAATTTATTATCAATTCACATCTGCCATCCCAAATTGACATCTAGCAATGTGTTAAAGCAATACAAATGACGGTAAATTTCACGTGTTATGACAAAACCAAACTTGTTGGTTTACCGTGAAACTATAATCCTTTCATCAATATAATCCGATCAATTATGAGATATGGATATGTGTCAATCACAATTATCGATCATTTCTTTTATCCCATTGTTAAGTCAATATAAGTCGAAAACTCATTTTCGACTTATGAGTTCACCTTGGCCAAGGATTTCATTATCAACTTAACTGGATAAAATGTATATCATAATCTCTTACTATCTAAGAGTGACGAATCCACTATTGATC